AGCATCTCTTACACGACAGTCCATATGTTTTTGCAAGCCGCGCATGTTATCTACAGATTACTTATCTGCTGCCTACTTACAGTCGAGCCATCATGGCTAATGCATAAGGCCAGGCAGCGCAGGCCCCACAACATGCACTGGAGACGGCGGGTTGGGACTTGGCTGGGGGGCGGGGATGACTGGGGGGGATCAGCCTTCATCGGAACCCGCATATGATCGACTCTTTATCAGACCAGCTTGCCAGCAAATTCGCACTCGCAAGCCTTCTCAGCACAGCTGGTCAGCCGACAGATCGCCCATTGCGGATAATTTTCAAACGCGCCGCGGGCCAGATATTCTCAGCAGATAAGGTATTCTGCCATCTTTCAGGCCCCCCTGGATCCTGGGTGGCCCCATATAACCTCAACGTTACAATGTTACTCACGTTGCAGAGCATCTTTCGATTTCGCTACAGCCGACTGTACTGATGATTCGGAGGCAGAGGATCTCTTGGCTTACTTGGGAGGGTTGCGGTGGGATCAGCCTGGCCATTGTGGCCTTTGGCGGAGGGGCTTCTGCCTTGTAGTGGGCCGCCGTGCTCTGTCACCTCCCGCCTTTCACCTCAGCGTTTTCATCTCATTTAGAAATTGCCACATCGGCCGCTCTACAGGCCAGCTCAGCCTATTCACATTCGCCTATGTTTCGCTACGCGCTCTCATTTCAATATCACAGGCCTGCCTACCGAGCGCAATCCTCAGCAAAGCCTGAGTAGACACAAGCTATTGAGGGGGAAAGAAGAGCCACAAGGGTGGCCACGATGACGGCCCCCCCCCAATGAACTGGAACAGTGAGGGCCCCCCCCCCTGAGGAGCCGAAAAGACACGGGTAGCAGCCCATGAATTGCTATGTCTTATTCCGCCACAGGGCCAGCCCGCACAGTTTGTGCCAACCCGAACGCACTTTGCTTAACATCTTTACGCTTTCTTTTTTACACCCATTCCTAGAGTCGCCTGTTTTTATACCCTCTATTCGCATTGAACGCCCATTTTACCTGAGCGCGGCTTGCTTGGATAGCCTAGGGGGGGGCATTTATCTTATAATCCTAAGGTACGGAGGGGGGCACCAAGGCACCGCCAGGCTTACCTGATGTCTGCGGCCTGGCGGGCGCATATTCGTAGGTCTTCGGACCATGCACTTTTTTCGCGTCTCTTTGCCTTTTGTTTTCTTGCTTCGCCCGCAAGACCTACTTCGTTTGCGCTTTGCCGAAGTGTCAGCATTCTGCACTTTGGGGCTCTGGAGGACAAGGACGAGGACAAGGACGAGGACAAGGATGAGGAAGATGACGAGGACGTCGTCGTCGGCGGCGGCACCGGCTGAGGGTCGAGGTCGGCGCCGAGCGCCGCGGCGCGGCGGCAATTGCCCGCGGGGGGCGCGAAGATGACCGTGCGCCGGTGCGCCGCGGGCGGCCAAGGCGTCGGTTCAACATGGAATCACCTGGCGATCGGACAACCGCCGATCGGTCAAGACGAGAAGGAGGAGGAGGAGGAGGAGGAGGAGAAGGAGGAGGAGGAGCGCCGCGGCGTGGCGGCAACTGCAGGCGGCGTGGCGAGGCCTGGGCCGCGTCCTCCGACTGGAGCCCGAGGGGTCGCCGCCGCCGGCCGCTGTGCGCGGCGGCGCGCTCGCCGCCAGCGAGCGCGCGGGGGGCACGCCACTGGCCGCGGTGCTGCGCTCGAAGGGGCTCTCATTAAGCATAATACAGCCCCGAGCCCTAATAACACCATGAACTCCTGGCCCAACTTGGGTCATCCCTTTTTAGGGCTATCCCTAAACATTTGGGCGGTTTCGTCGGAGGCATGTGCAAAAAAGGCCCCCCCTCCCAAAGGATTAGGTGTGCTTGTATTGCTCCTCAGGCTCGTGTGGATGGACACGATGCCCGGGGATGCGGGCTGCCCAGCGGTTCAAAGAGGGGTTCGGGGTCTGGGCTTTCCGGGCCTCTCGTCGATTCTCGGCGGTGCTCCAGCCTCCGGCCTGTTTCCAACAGCTGCGCGTCGCCGAGAGCGTTTTGGTGGTGCCTGGATCGTCCCGGACGGCCTCCCGAGGCCCGAGCTATGACCCGAGAACCACCAGGCGCCCCAGGTGTCGGGGGGTGGGCCCGCGGATGCGGGCTGCCCGCAGCTCCAAAGCGGGGCCGCTATCCCGTGGCCCCCCCCCTGGGAACCAGGCCGCTGCTGGCCAGGACTCTGAGCAGTCTGCCCGGAGAGAGAGAGAGAGAGAGAGGAACGGAGGACGCTTCGACCCACGGCTGCAGTTTTCTCGGGCGCGCCAGCGTCCTGGTCTATCGAGGGGTCCCTCTTGAGGGAGCCCTGGCCTGGGGAGAGGGGCCCCTCGGGATGGGAGAGGGATCCCAGGCTGAACCTTGACTGTTTGAAGCCGCTCGTCTTGGGGCCCCTTCCTATCCTGAGGGCCCCGGGGATCCGACGTCGTGACTTGTCAGAACGTGGCCTCCCCAGAGGGCCAAACC